AGTTTTTCCTGTTTTATCTTCCAGCACATTGTTCCTGCTTTAACATTTACATCTTTAATCCATTTTGATTTTAGCTTAATACATGCTGAGATATATGGGCCTAGATTCAGTCTTCCGTATGTGGAAAGCCAGTTTTCTTAACATCATTTGTTAAAGGAGCTGTCTTTCTTCTGCCAAAAGTAAAATAACTGAGGGTGCCTGATGATTTTGCATCCTCCGTTATGTTCCATTGGTCTACATGTCTAGTTTTCGTTGTTCTATTTTATTTTGAGTGAGTTATTTTGCCATTACCCTGTTTTTATCACTGTAATTTTGTAATATAACTTGAAATCTTAGGTCTTGGTTGCCTCCTTGCTTTGCTACTTCCAGGATTACTTTTGCTATTCTAGGTGTCTTCTGGACCCATATGAATTTCAGGATTGTTTCCACTAGTTCTGTGAGGAATGCTTTTGATATTTTTATTGGAATTGCATTAAATCTGTATATTAGGTTCAAAAGTATGACCATTTTGAAAATACTAGTCCTGCCTATCCAAGAATAGGTGATAGCTTTTGGTTTTTTTTTGTTTTTTTTTAGCGTTAAAATTTACTTTTTTTTTCACTTTTCCTTTATTTAGTTTTTTAATAGATTGCAAATTGAAAATAAATTATTTACAAACATAAATGAATATAACAATACTGTCCAAAATAAAAATGAAGGAATTTACAGATCAGTCATAATAGTTCACTGTGTCAAAACCAAGAAACTTATATTCATATAATTAGATTTCTCAAAGTAGAAAGGAGTAGGCAATACATATTTAAAGATTTAAAATTTCTGAATTTAGTTCAACTTATAATACCACATTTCCAAGAAAAATGAACCCTTTGCAAAGACATTTAAAAAAAAATCATACCAAGATACACAAAAATGAAATTGCCCAAAACTTCTTGTAAAGAAAAAAATCATTAAAGCATATATATAAAAATATTAGCTATGGAAGAACAAAATTAAGTAGCATCTTATTCCACATTAGAAAGAAAAAAAAAGGACCAAGCCTGTAAGAAACTAGATTAATTACTGAGCCATCTCCCTGGCCCCTGTCTATCAATTTTATAATGTCCTCTTAGATCTTGTTTTTCGGATGTAATTTTCATTGTAGTTTCTGTTCTAGAGGTGTGTCACTTCTTTATTGGGTTAATTCCTGAGTATTTTATTTCTCTTGAAACAATTATAAATTGTGTTTTTCTAATTTCTTTCTTAGTTAATTTTGGGGATCTGCAAGAACTCTTGATTTCTGTTTGTTGACTTTGTATCCTGCTACAGTACTGAATGTGGTTATTAGTTCTAGGGTGCTCTATGTAGAGGATCATGTCACCAAATGATGATAAATTGACTTCTTCCTTTCCTATACATATCTCTTTATTTCTCTTGCCTGATTGCTCTGGCTAATATCTTTAGGACTGTGTTGAACCAGAGTGAAAACAGTGGTTATTCTCATCTTATTCCTGATTTTAGAGGGAAAGCTTTCAGCTTTCTCCCCATTTAATTTAATATGGCAGTATTAATTATGACAGTATTTAATTATGACGGTAAGTTATAAAAAGCTTTGATCAAGTTGAGATAATATACATCTATACCTATTTTCTTCAGATTTTTTTTGTATCATGAATCAGTATTAGATTCTGTCAAAGGCTTTTTTGATCTATGGAGATGATAATGGTGTTTTTCTCCTTGATTCTGTTTATGTGATAGATTACATTTATTGATTTGCATATGCTGAGCCATCCTTGTATCCCTGGAATGAAGCTAAGTTGATCCAGGATGTAGGATCTTTTTAATGATTTGTTACATTCTGGTTGCCAGTAGCTTATTGAGGATATTTGCATGTGAGTTCATAAAAGAGATTGCCTAGAGTTACCTTTTTTTGTTAAATCTCTGTCCAGTTTTAGTATCAGAATAATGCTACCTTCCGAGAATTAGTTTGGTAAAGTACTTAGTTTGGTACTCCTTTCCTTGGAGATTTTGAGGATTATTGGCATTAGATTTTCAATGAAGTTATGCTGGAATTCTATAGTGAATCCATCATTTCCTGGGCTTTTGTTTGTTGGTAGAGTTTTTATTATTATCTGTATTTTGTTGCCTGTTATTCATTTATTCAGAGATTTTATATCTTCTTTGTTCAATTTTGGTAATTCATATATGTCTAAGAATTTCTCTATTTTGTCTAGGTTCTCCAATTTATTAGAATATTTGTTTTTTAAGTAGTTACTTATATTCCACTAGGTTTTTGGTGGTGTCTGTTTTGATTCTGCGTTTTGTGTTTCTAATACTATTGAAGTTTTTTTTCCCCTCTTTTGCTTTTGATTAGTCCAACCTATGATTCTATGATTTATCAATGTTGTTTATCCAATCAATTAACCAACTCTTTTTTGGCAGAACCGGGGATTGAACTCAGGCACTTGCGCTTGCCAGGGAAGCACTTATTCTACTGAGCCATCTCCCCGGGACTGAGCCATCTCCCCGGGACTGAGCCATCTCCCCAGCTAACCAACTTGTGATTCATTGATCCTTTGTATTTTTTTTTTAAGTCTCAATTTCATTAACTTCCATTTGGCTCTCTATATCCTTCTATTAATTTCAAGTTTAGATTGTTACCTTGTTTTTCTAGGAACTTAAAATGCATCATTAGATTGCTTGGGATTGCTCACTTCGTTTAATGTATATATTCATAGCTATAGACTTCCCTCTTCATACTGCATTCTTTGTGTCCCATACATTTTGACATGTGTGCTTCCATTGTCATTTGATTCTAGAAACTTCTTTATTTCATCCCTGATTTCATCTGTGATCTATTGATTATATATTGATTATATAGTAATGTATTATTGTCATTTGTTGGTGTGTAACTTCTGTTCTTTCTTTTCCTCTTGATTTCTAGCTTCATTCTACTATGACTGAATAATATGCAGAAGATCATTTAAATTCTTTTGTATTTACTTAGGCAAGCTTTGTGACCTAAGATATGGTCTATTTTGGAATAAGTTAATGCTCTGTTGCTGTCTGTTAAATCCATTTGGTCAATGCTGTGGTTTAATTCTGCTACTTTTCAGTTTTTTGCCTGATTGAACTGTCTAGTTGTAGCAGTGTTGAAGTCTCCTTCTATGACAGTATTAGTGTCTGTCTGTCCATTTATGTCCAGTAGTTTTTGTTTTATGAAGTTTGGTATCACTATTCAAATTCTTGTTCCCTAAAAACTACTTGTATGATTTGCTTAAATGTTATTTAAATATTAACGAATTTACCACTTTTTAACATAAAAAGATACAGGCTAATAAATATTTTTTCTTCTTGATACCTTAAGGCAGAAAAGCTACACCAGCTGCTTTTAAGTATATTATAACATTAAAAGGCAAGTAAAAATAAAACCAGCCCGAGAAGTTCTGGCTCTTAGGCAGAGTCCTCTTCAGTGTATCTGTGTCCTGGCCCAAGCCAGCCTTTCCACACTTAGCTCCACCTCTGATAACTGTCACTGTGCATGAGGGTGGCTTTATGTCTCTAGTGTTTACCCCTAATCATTAGAGACGCCACGGCCTTGATCACAGGGACACTGACTCTGCTAATAAAGCGCTATGCTCTATGTTTGGATTTTCAGGATTAATGTCCGTACTGGCAGAAATAAGACCAAAGAATGACTTGGGGCATCCTTTTTGTGATAATTTGAGATCTGGAGATTGGATGATTGACTACGTCAGTGGCCGACTTCTTTCTCGATCAGGAACTGTTGCTGAGGCAAGTAGAACTATATTCTAATCCAAATAAATAATGAGAGCCATAGTAAGAATTATATTACTACACCATGTGCAGTATTTATGAAGCTTTTTTGGGAAACAATATGATAGATTTCTTTTATTTATTTTTTCTTTTATTTATTTAAATTTGTGTGTCTGGTACAAGGTCTCACTATGCAGCTCGGACTCATGGTGATCCTCCTGTTTTCAGCCTCCCAGGCACTGGGGTTACAGGTGTGCGCTACCACACCCGGACTCAGTTGCCAGCTTAGTGTGCCCAGGAGTGGGGGTGGTGCTGCACTTGGTACCAGGGATCAAACCCCAGCCCCTGAGCTTGCCTACGCAGGCGCTTAGTCCACTGAGCTGTCTCGCTGGCCCTATTTTTTAATTTAAAAAATTAAAAAATACAAAATTTCATAACAAGATGATAGGAAATTAACAGTGGTTATTTATTTTATTTGTGGTTTTTTTGTATTTAGTATGGGGTCTACAGGGCCTCACTACACAGATCAGACTCATAGTCTGTTTTCAGCCTCCCAAGCACTGGGATTACAGGTGCACGCCACCATACCCAGTCTCAGTCACCCTCTCAGTGTGCCCTGGGGATGGGGCTAGCATGGCATACCAGGGATTGAACCCTAGTCCCTCCATCTGCCTAAGCAGGCCCTTTAACCCTCTGAGCTATCTCGTCAGCCCAACAGTGAGTGTTATATTGCATATTGTTATCTTCAAAATAGTTGTTCAGATTACCAGATATGGACATGAAAAAGTTCTTCTTCCCTACATCATCTTTTTCAGTTCTAATAAGTAGAAATTCTGTTAAAGAATTAGCAAATAATAAAGCTACGTATTTATATTCACCTCTCAAAATATACCTTAAAATATCCCTAGACTGCAGACACAACAAATTAACTTTTAAAATTATATTTCTAACAGGTTGGCAAGTGGTTGCAGGCTATGTTCTTCTACCTGAAGCAGATTCCACGATACCTTATCCCATGTTACTTTGATGCTATATTAATTGGTGTATATACCACTCTTCTTGATATAGCATGGAAGCAGATGTCAAGGTATGTCCAAAAAAGCTTGAGTAAATAAGCATGTTTATGTATAAAATTAATACAGTCACTTTATACTGTTTTGAGACCTTGCACTTGTCAGGCAGGCACTTATGCTGCTAGCTATATCCCTGGCCCTGTATATACTCTTAAAAGAACAGAACATGAAGAATTGTTCATAGCAGTAGACTGAAAAAGTTTTGAAGTGGAGGTTTATCAGTATCCTCTAGTCTGGAACATAGAAAAACAAGGTTACATATTAAAAATATGTTCCAAAATTGGGCATATAGTGCCTACCTGTGATCCTGGTACTTGAGGACTGAGGTAGGAGACTCCAGTTTGAGGCCAGTGTGGGCAATATAGCAAGTTTGAAACCATGTTGGGCTGCATAGCACATTTGAGACTAGCCTGGCCTACATGACAAGATCCTGTCTCAAAAAATGAGGAAAAAAAATCAGTTCCATAAAACCGATAAAACACGGTGCATGCATATAATCCCATCATTTGGGAGGCTGAGGCAGGAGGAACATGAGATCAAGGCCATCCTGAGCTACATAGAGAGACCCTGCTATGCATGCAAAAAAAAAAAAAAAAAGTTCTGAGAAGAATCAGTTGTTTTATATCCACTTGTTCCTTGTTAAAGTTAATTGATAAAAATTTTAGAATATGTACACATAGCATTTTTCTTTATTTTTTTCTCTCTTTCATTCTTTCATTTGTTTGTTTGTTTGTTTCTTGAGATAAATTTTCACTATAGAGTCAGGCTCTCCTTGAGCCGACTTTGTAGCATAGACTGGCCTTGAACTCGAGCAGTCCTCGTGCTCAGCCTCCTAGAGTTTATTTTCATTATTTAAAAGAAAATTCATTTTGCTATTTTTGTTCATCAAAATTGCCTTTTAGAGGTGAAGCAAACAGAAAATCGTGGAGGTTTTGTTGGTGTATAACAAAGGAACATGGCTCAAGAAACCAATCACAGCCACGTGCCTATGCTTTGTTCCACTGGCTGCAGATTTTATGGAAGCCCTTGCACAAATGGCATGTGTTCAGTGTGCATAAAGAATATCTTCAGTAGGGCCAGCCATATAGCTCAGCGGATTAAAGTGCCTGCAAGCAGGTGCAGCGGCCAGGAATTTAATCCCCAGGCCTGCGATGCTGAGATGGCAATTGAGACTGGGCGTGGTGGCACACACATGTAATCCCAGTTTTTGCGAAGCTGTAAACAAGAGAATCACTTCGAGTTCGATCTAGTAGTGAGACCTTGAATACCCTGTAGACCCTTCCCTAAAATACAAAAAGGAAAAAATAAAAGGACATCTTCAAAGACAGAACAATAGTAGTGGTAGAATAAGCCCACCTGCAGCCTCTGTCAGCAGTGTCTGAGTTGTTACCGGCTCAGTGCACAGATTGCAGTGTGCCAGAAGCTCTGTTAGCACTGGCCTCTACCTCTTCCTCTGTGCGTCCAAGCTCTGTAACAAATCAGCCACTGTTAGCAGAATCTGTAGCATCTTCCCCGGTGGACAGTGCATCTGTAGACAAAGCAGCACCTCAAACTGAAGGTCTGCAAGCTTCAGTGTCAGACACAGCACAGCAGCCATCTGAAGAGCAAAGCAAGTCCCTTGAAAAACCAAAACAGAAAAAGAACCGCTGCCTGATTTGTAGAAAGAAAGTGGGGTTCGTGGGGTTTGAATGCCGCTGTGGAAATGCTTACAGTGGTGTACACTGTTACCTAGATGTTCATAATTGCTCTTACAGTTTCTTTTTTTTTTTTTTAATTTTTTTTTATTTTTTATTTATTTGAGAGAGAGAGAGAGAGA